GAATTTTTCTTGAGGTTGGCAGGTTACCTACTGTCAACCCTCCTGGTTCTGTGAATAGCTTGTCCTAACACAGGTGTCTTTGGTCTAAGTGGTGAACACTCCAACAGTTCTTAAATGCTTGACTCCTGCTTACCAATTTTTGTGGCTTTTTTGGCCTCCCCGATTCCCATGAGCAGTTAACCTTTCCATCATGTGCACATTTGCAGAAACCAGTAGTAGTATCTGAAGAACTGAAACTGTGGACATGAGCTGTAACCAAAGAACTGGGGGCGGGGGAAAGTGTTGAACAGCAAACCTCAAAGAATGGGGCCTATAGACTGATTCCAAACAAATGGGAACTGCAGCTGCTCCCCACAGGCATGGAATCTGGGGAAGGATTCCCAACAGAGAACGGCGGACTAAAATGTCAGCACTTGGGACGCCTGGGTGGCTCAGTTGGTTAAGCAGCTGCCTTTGGCTCAGGTCATGATCCCAGCGTCCTGGGATCGAGTCCCACATTGGGCTCCTTGCTCGTCAGGGAACCTGCTTCTCCCTCTGCCTCTGCCTGCCATTCTGTCTGCCTGTGCTCGCTCTCTCCCTTTCTCTCTCTGACAAATAAATAAATAAAATCTTTAAAAAAAAAAAAAAAAATGTCAGCACTTGCCGGAGTGGAATCAGAGAACAGAATTGAAATCCTGGGTTTGGCAGTTTCTGTGGAGTGGCCAGTAGAAGGCCCTGTGTGCACCACCAGCAGTCCCTGTGGAGCCTTGGCCTGGGGAAAGGGTTGAACCAGCAGAGCCCAGCAGATGGGGATTGCAGCCTGGAGGCTCCCCATGGTGGGGAACTACATACTGCTACCAATAGTTCCCACACAGAACTTGGGACAGGATTTTCCACTCAAAAGCCTGGGATTGTGGACCACAGAGGCAGTTACTTTGAGGGCTTGATGCAGAGAGTGGAGCATGGAACCAAGAGAGCTTACCCCGGCACTCGGACATGATGAGCAAGACCATGAGCTTAGAGGGATTGTGGGGTACCATGCCTGTGTTTCCCATTTTCCCCGGAGTCGTCGGAAGGCTCCTTCAATCCCACCACTGCCACCAAATGTGTTAAATAACAGACAACTGAGTAAAGTTAAAGATCAAATTGGCTTTATTCAACAACTCATGAATTGGGCAGCATCCCATCTAGCAAGTACTGCAGAAAGGAACTTCATTGCGCTTCAGAGAAGGAAAGGTTTTTAAAGGCAGAGAGGGAGAGGAAAAGGAAATATTCACAAAAATTTGCATTGTTTTAGGCAAGGTGACCTTTCTGGGAGGGGGACAGAAAAGGGTCTGCCAAAGATTACCTCCTGATGCTGACCAGGAAGTTCCAGATTGCCTGGTTGAAGGCCCCATTTCTGGCAGAAGCTGAAGCTGCATTTGGGGTAGGTCTTAAATCTAGGTGGGGTTTAGCCTATGTGACTCCATTCTGGGCCTACTGGCTCCTTTTTAATGGGAGTTAAGTAGTTAAATAAAAGAACATTCCAACAATTCCCATGAAAGGAAAATACTGATGGGAAACATTTGGAAAATATTTTCAAACTTGTCAAGCATTATTTCAAAAACTAAAACAATAAGGAAATTATATTTTCTATACATCAGGCTCAAAAATGAAAAAATTAAAAGGCTAAAAATTACTGGCACAGCTTCTAGGCAACAGATCTGTTTACCTGACTCAGGAGACTCAGGTCACAGAGGTCAGGTGCTGGTCATACTGCCCACAGCCTAAGTCCTTAAGGCTGATGGATGACTTGAGGCAAGTTGTTTGACCTCTCCAGGCCTCACATCCCTCATCCGGAAAATGGAGACATCAGTAGCTATTTCATAGGGCTGTTGGGGCCTGGTGCACATTCAGGTGTGTAATTTGTATCACCTGGGAGCGCAAGTGACACAATTGTCATAAATTGCAGCTAAATTAGAGGGATTTGGCAGTGGCATAGCAAACACTATTTAAAAGGTTATAAAATTTCCCTCCTGGAAGTTAAGGAACTATGTCAACAGGAGCCTATGTTAATTTTCATCTGTCTATGGCATCATTTCTTACATTAGGAAGAAAGAGGAAATGGGAAGAAATTGGAAATGAGTTACACGGAAAGAGCAGAAACAACTGTGGAGAATATTTAACCATACATTCCTAACGCTGATTCTGCATCGGTTGGCTGTGGCCTGGATGTTACCATTATCCTGTGTTGAACAGTTTGTTTCAGATTCTGCACCAACCAGGTTACTTATATTGTCAGCCTTAGCCTTCCCAACCGTCCTATGAAGTACACAGTATTACAACTTGTGATGCAGTGGCTTATATGAAGAAATAGGTATTTGGTCTTCATCCCCATTTCTTGTGAATTTCCTCAGTGAGGAGAGCGGGCCAAGGTGTCTTTGTTATGTTAATGAGGTAACCTTTGTGCCGCACCTGAGGATGGGGCTGGTTGCCAGGGGAACCAACCCTGTGATGAGAGGGCTGGTGCTCAGTTCCGCAGCCAGCTTCCCCGGAGGAGGGGAGGGGCTGGAGGTTGAATCAGTCACTAATGACCAATGATTTAATCAATTGCCTGTGTAATGAAGCCTCCATAAAAATTCAGAGGATGGGGTTCAGAGAACTTCTGGGTTGGAGAACAATTGGAGATTTGGGGAGAGTGGTGGCCTAGGAGAGGACATGGCAGCTCTCTGCTCTTTCCCCTCATCTTGCCTTATGTATCTCTACCATCTGGCTGTTCCTGAGTTATGTAGTTTTATAATATACCAGTAGTGTCCTAGTAAAATGTTTCCCTGAGTTCCGTGAGCCACTCTAGCAATTTAATCAAAACTGAGGAGGGGGCTGTGGGAACCTCCAGTCTCTCACTGGATGGTCAGAGGCATGGGTGGTAACCTGCACCACCCACGTCCGAAGGTGGTGGCGGTCTTGTGGGACTGAGCCCCTGTCTATGGGACCTGACACTGTCTCCAGGTAAAGAGTGTCAAAATTGAGTTGAATTGTAGGACGCCCAGTTGGTGTCTGAGAATTGCTTGTGGTGTGGGAAGCTTCGCCCCACAATAGAAATTGAGTGCAGAACCTCTAGACTCTTAATTTATTGGTGAGGAAGATGAGACAGGGTGGGATTCAAATTCATGTTGGTGTAACTTGGGGTCCAGACGCTTAACCCACCATGTTTTATCCCTGGTCCTAACCACTGCTCCTACTAGAAGAAGCTCTTCAGAAGGTTAACAAAGAAAAGAAAAAGTGATGGGTATAACTTTATTTAGTCTAGAGAGGGAAAAGATTTTCAATAGATTATTAAGAGTTATATATTGTTGGGGTGCCTGGGTGGTAAAGTTGGTTAAGTGTCCGGCTCTAGGTTTTGGTTCAGGTCATGATTGCAGAGTCCTGGGTTTGAGCCCCACATCTGGCTCCCTGTGCTTAGTGTGGGGTCTGCTTGAGATTCTCTTTCCCTCTGCCCCTTCTGCTCGTGCTCTCTTTCTCTCTCTCAGATAAATTAAAAAAAAAAAAAAGAAAGAAAGAAAATGATATATTGTGGGTTTTGTATTTATGGAGAGCTAAATAAGGGTAAATACGGGTAAATTTTAAAATGAGCGATTTAGAAAAATTTCCTGAATTAACCAATTAACTGTTCACATGAGTTTCCGGGGAGCCCAGAAGGAAGATTACATATTGCAAAATAAAAGAGGCTAGATTAGGGGCACCTCGGTGGCTCAGTCAGTTAAGCATCTATCTTCAGCTCAGGTCATGATCCCAGGGTTCTGGAATCGAGCCCTGCGTCAGGTTCTCTGTTCAGTGGAAATCTGCTTCTCCCTCTTAAAAAAAAAGAGGCTAGGGGCACCTGGGTGGCTCAGTTGGTTGAATGTCTGTCTTTGGCTCAGGTCATGATCCCAGGGTCCTGGGATCGAGCCCCACATTGGACTCCTTGGTTGGGGGGGCGTCTGCTTGTTCCTCTCCCTACCCCACCTGTGCTCTCTCTCACAAGTAAATAAAATCTTAAAAAAAAAAAAAGAGGCTAGATTATTACCTTTCTCATTGTGTTATTAGTTTTTTGGCCTACAAGCTAGAGGGCAAATTAATTTCTCTTTTCATATAATAGTATAAATGGGTAGGTGGGTCTAAATGAAACATTTTGCTTTCACTTTAGCCAATAGTAGTTTTCTTTGTTTGCCTACCAAGTTGGCAGGTGAAATTTAGACTGTTCATGATGGTGGTCTTTAGGTCATCCTATGAGCATCTAGTAGATTGCTGAGCTCTAAGCATAGGGAATATAGAGCAGTGGGTCTTTCTTCCTTCAGACTGAGGCTCATCCTCTGTTCTTACTTCAGATCTGCCGTGGAAATCAGAAGGAGATTCAGAAGTCAAACCCAAGTGATATAAGGCAGAGCTTCGCAACTTTAAAGTTTAAGCACAACCCTGTAGAGCCCTGCTGACCCGGGCATCCTGACGTCTCCTGAGTTGCATTCAGAGTGGAGTAACAAGGTCCAGGAAAGTCTGGGCTCTGGAACTACACAGACTGGGTTCACACAGTGATTTTGCAGAACTCTGGCCAGTGATCAAATCCTTGCAAGCCTTAATTTCTTCATCTGCAAAATGGAGAAAATACCAGCTCATGAGATTGGCATATTGTCAGATAGAAGATCTGTGAAACTAGTAAATTCAGTGCCCCTCACACTTTAGCAGTCGATGAACTTGGTCCCACATGGTCCGTTTACACACAGGATGTGAATGGTGTTAACCGAATCCTCGTCTGTAGTGGTGGCATGTGTGCAAAAGTGTACCTGTGTGTGTGTGTGTGTGTGCACATGCCCATGTGTGCAGAGTCATTCAGTTGTGTGTCCACAAAGTAAGGGATGAGAGACCCCAGAGCCCTTGAGCACAAGCCTTCGAGAAGCATGCCTGTGAAGCCACACTGTTCACACAGGTGCACTTTGTCTCTAATGTGTCTTTCAGATGCTTTTTCATTTTTTTTTTCTAAACTTTCTTTTCCTAATTCTTACCAGACTTAGATAAAAAAAAGCATGTAGAGCTGAAGATGGATCAGGCTTTGCTGCTCATCCACAATGAACTGCGTGGAACAAACCTGACTGTGTTCTGGAATTCCGAACGCTGTTACCACGTAGGTATTATGTTCATGCTCACAGTGTTGTTTGCTTTGGGGCTGTTTGAAGTGATTCCCAGTGCTCTCCTGCCTGAAGCCCTTCACGTGTTCACTTCAGTTTTATAGGTAAGGACACAAATAGAAAGAATCAGGAGACAGATGATCAGGGGGAATGCCCAGCAGTGAACAACGTCAGTCTCTTACCTTTCCCCCTCCCCATCTTTTAAAAACTCAGTTCTTGGTGATGAGTGAAAGTGATAGACAGACCATGTTTTATTTTACTCCTCTGCCTGATGCATAACTCCGTTGCTGAACCAGAGAAGGAAGAAGTGAGAACCTTGGTATTCTCCAAGGGCAGAGGTAGTGACGACAACCGGGAGGCTTAGGTTGAAGTATGACACTTATTCCAGGGATCTGCCCTCCTGATGATAAAGGCTTTATTTGTTTTTAATTAAGTTTTTAATTTTAATTCCAGTACAATTAACCTGCAGTGTTACTATTGGTTTCAGGTTTACAATGTGGTGGTTCAGCAGTTCTGTACATTACTCAGTGCCCTGTCCCCCCACTCATCTCCCCTCTGGTAACCATTGGTTTGTTCTCTATAGTTAAGAGTCTGTTTCCTGGTTTTTGCTTCTCTCTCCTTTTTTGCTTTTTCCCTCCTTTGCTTGGTTGTTGATAAAGGATATATGGAAGGACACTTATGAGTCTGTAAAGGTTGAACAACCAGAAAATGCTATCGAGACATAACCTTTTAAAACTTATGAACATTAATGATAATTTACAAATCTTTAAGCAAATATAGAGACAGACGTTCAAAGGAATGCAAATTATAATAATTTGTATTTTGTAAACCAAATAATAAATATCTGGGAACTATGGACTTACAGGTGAAGGAAATCAGCTATCTGGTTAAATTGAGAATTTTCTTTCCTCTTTATCTCTCTTCTCTTAAAGTAGAAACACTTAAGATACAAATACGTTGAAAAACACATAAACATATTGAAAAAATGTGTAGACTTCATAGCTTCAAGAAGCTAAAGGTACCTGAATGTGTCAGCAAGTGCTTTTCAAACGAGAACCAAAATTGGAGGAAGGTTTGTATTGTAATGTTAACTATGAGTAATCACTATAACTGACTAAATAAATCTAAGATGTAAATGAGAAAAAAAGAAAAGAAAAAGAAAATTGCTTTTTAGCATCCTAAACAGTATTCCTTGGGGGATCTGGAGGTGGCATAAAGAAGGGAGAAGCAGTGAGTGGGAGACAGAAATCTGGGCTTTCATTGCAGTGAAGGTGATCTGTTAATTTTGACTGTTAATTATTTTCAGATATAAATTAGAATAAACAAGTCCATTTCATTTTTTAAAGTAGACATGTATGTATGTAGTATAAGTAGACATGTAAGTATGATAATAGTTAATGTATCTTTAAAATATTATCAGAAAAGAATATGCAATATGGGAAATATATAAATGACAAAAGAAGACAATAAAAGTAGAGGAAGGAATTCAGGGTGAGCAAGTCTAGGCTAATTGCAACAAATACAATTGGATTAACTTGCATAAAAATAAGATTCATTTGTATTAAAATATTGGGAGTAATTTCAAATTCCTTTTGGAAAAAGGAAAGTTATATATAAATACATTGACTAATAACATATTAAAGACATATTATACTTAAAATATAACATATTGTACATAACATATTATGCTTAAAAAGAATACATTAAGAACAAAAGACATATGCATTGTTACTTTCATGAGGTAGATGTGGGAGTAAAGGGGGCCGGTCAGGCTTTAGTATTTGCATAAATGATAAATGAAATGTTAATATTAAAATAGAAGCACACCAGATGAAAAGGCTTGGAATTGAGATGGGCCTCTGCAACACATGGAAAGTCATGGTAGGGGGCACCTGGGTGGCTCAGTCGGTTAAGCATCCGACTCTTCAGGTCGGGATCTCAGGGTGGTGAGATCAAGCCCTACATTGTGCTTTGCACTCAGTGTGAAGTCTGCTTGAGATTCTCTCTGTCTCTTCCTCTGTCCCTCCTGCTCATGCTCTTTGTCTCTCTCTAAAATAAGTAGAGTGTCTGGGTGCTCATTTGGTTAAGTGGCTGACTCTCGATTTTGGCTCAGATCATGATCTCAGGATCCTGGGATTGAGCCCCATATCAGGCTCCCTGCTCAGCTGGGGAGTTTGCTTGTGGATTCTCTCACTCCTCTCCCTCTGTCTCTCCCTGTGCTCGTTCTGTCTCAAAAATAAATAAATCAATCTTTAAAATAAATAAATCTTAAAAAAAAAAAGTGATGTTAGAAACTACAGAGCAAAACTGTGGTGAGAAATAAGCATTCACTATTATCAGACTCAGTGGGGTTTAGGGATTAAACTGGTGAATGGAACCAGACCAGAAAGTGGTAGAATGGAGTGGTTTAGAGCATGGATTCTGCCAGCCAGAGCACCTGGTTTGAATCCTGCCTCTGGCACTTCCTGCCTGTGAAAATGAAAGAAAAATTAACATGAGTCAAGAGATGATTTTGTTTTGTTTTGTTTTAAGTAGGCTCCATGGCCAGTGTGGAGCCCAGTGTGGGGCTTGAACTCACAACCCTGAGCTCAAGACCTGAGCTGAGATTAAGAGTCAGATATGTAAATAACTGAGCCTCCCAGGGGCCCCAAGAGATTTTTTTTTTAAGATTGTATTTATTTATTTATTTATTTATCAAAAAGAGAGAGAGAGATCACAAGCAGGGGGAGCCGGGGGCAGAGGAAGAGGGAGAAACAGGCTCCCAGGGAGCCTGATGCAGGACTCAATCCCAGGACCCTTGGGGTTAAGCAGATGCTTAACTAAAATAAACAACTCTGGTGTCCCCCCCCCTTTTTTTGAGAGAGGGAGAGAGTGTGAGTGGAGTAGGGGGTAGAGGGACAGAGGAAGAGGGAGAATCTTTAGCAGGCTCCACGCCAACACAGAGCCCAGTGTGGGAGCTCAGTCTCACAACCCTGAGATCATGACCTGAGCCAAATCAAAAGTCTGATGCTTAACTGACTGAGCCACTCAGGCACCCCAAGAGATGATTTTTTAAAAATAAAAGTTGTATAATTGACAAATTATTGATAAATAGAAATTAATAAAATTAGAAATTAGGATATGGATAACTGCTATAATTAAAATAATTATGATCAAATGAATAGTTTATAAGCTGATATATTCAAAATTCAAGAATTGATTTCCTTCAAAAAATATGATATGAAGATTGATTCAAGAAATTGAGAACCTAAGTAGATGAGTCACTGATTAAGAAATCTGGAAAGTTATAATGAATTTCTCCACCTAGAAATACAGTATTTTTTCTACATTTTCAAATAATAAAGAATTATCAGTTTATATAAACTAACCTAAATATAAGCTCCCTCCCCCCTGTAATGATGGCTCAATATCTGATATATTCTGCAGTATAGATAGGATGTTAAAGTCTGGCAAAGATAGGAAAAGAAATGCAGGTCAGACTTTTTTTTTTTTTTTTTTTTTTTTTAAAGATTTTATTTATTTATTTGTCAGAGAGAGAGAGAGAGGGAGAGAGAGCAAGCACAGGCAGACAGAGCAAGAATGGCAGGCAGAGGCAGAGGGAGAAGCAGGCTCCCTGCTGAGCAAGGAGCCCGATGTGGGACTCGATCCCAGGACACTGAGATCATGACCTGAGCCGAAGGCAGCTGCTCAACCAACTGAGCCACCCAGGCGTCCCTAGGTCAGACTTTTTAATCAGTGTGGGTACAACAGTCTTAAATAAAATTCTGTCAAGTAGAGTAAGTTAGCATATTGAAAGATTTATTTATGATGACTTATATTTTTATCCCTGAGGATAAAGTTCATGAACAGAGTTTATACATAAAGATGATAAGGAAATTTTAGGACAAAAATACAGGTTAAATGGAGAGATAGCCAATATGATATGAAGACTAAACATAGAAAAAATGGTGGTAATTCATACCTTTTTTTTTTTTTTAAAGATTTTATTTTTTATTTATTTGAGAGAGAGACAGTGAGAGAGAGCATGAGCGAGGAGAAGGTCAGAGAGAGAAGCAGACTCCCCGCGGAGCCGGGAGCCCGATGTGGGACTCGATCCCGGGACTCCAGGATCATGACCTGAGCCGAAGGCAGTCGTCCAACCAACTGAGCCACCCAGGCGTCCCTAACTCATACCTTTAACACAGTTGCCATTAACATAGCAATGGCTACTTTATAGAGTCTATGTAAGTCATTCCCACATCGATAGGAAAAAGTAAATGAGCAAGAGGATCAAAACATGGCCCAAAAGAACAGGCAGTGTGGAGACTTGCTATACCAGATAAGATAGATTACCAAGTCACAACCACTTGTGTAGCCAAAAAAAGAGAAAGGAAGACCAGTGGACCAACGTAAATATAAGAAGTGGAATCTAATTTACTCTGAGAATTTAACATAACATGTTAAAACTGAAACCATGGGGAAGGTATCTAGAATTATTATATGCCATCTGTCAAATACTCCAAGTGGATTCAAGTTAAAATAATCTCCATAAATGTAAAAAATAACTAAAAGAGACAAAATATGTTTTTAAACTAATGAAAGAAGAAACAGCAAGCCAGATTAGTATGACTGTATAAAATATTAAAAACTTATATTTGAAAATAGAGGATATAACAAGATGAAAAGGAAAGCAGTAGAATGGGGAAATATTTGAGACAGTTAAAAGTTTAATGTTGCAGTATGAGGACGTATTTCTAAGATTATGTTCAAGGGGATTTGTGTCTAAGAATGGTTCATACCATAAGAAATATAAAATAACAAAAGAATATTGAATTACTTAATTTACTGATTATTTAAAATGTAATCTTAAATGCTGTGATATCATAAGTATTTAGTACATGAACAAAAAAGATGATCTTTAAATCCGCTTAAAGCTAATGAGAAACAAATATACTGTAATTTTTCTTATTTGAGTACTGTTTGGCCGCATAAAACAAGAACCATTAAAATGATTTTTTTTTAAAGATTTTATTTATTTATTTGAGAGAGAGAGAGAGCATGAGAAGGGTGAAGGTCAGAGAGAGAAGCAGACTCCCCATGGCTCTGGGAGCCTGATGTGGGACTTGATCCCAGGACTCTGGGATCGTGACCGGAGCTGAAGGCAGCTACTCAACCAACTGAGCCACACAGGTACCCTAAAATGATTTTTTTTTAAAGATATATTTATTTATTTGGAGGGCAGAGGCTGAGGGAGAGGGAGAGGGAGAGAGAAACCCAATGGGCTCAATCCCTCTATCCTGAGATCATGACCTGAGCTGAAAACAAGAGGCACGTAACTGACCACATTACCCAGGTGCCCCAAAACAATTATTTTTTATTCAGTAACCTCATTTTTGGAAATTTATTTCAGGGCAAGAATTTAAAAGAATAAGAACATCATTGGGGTGCCTGGGTGGCTCAGTCATTAAGTGTCTGCCTTTGACTCAGGTCATGATCCCAAGGTTGTGGGATCGAGCCTTGCGTCCGGCTCCCTGCTTGGTGGGAAACCTGCTTCTTCCTCTCCCACTCCCCCTACTTGTATTGCTGCTCTTGCTGTCTCTTTCTCTGTCAAATAAATGAAATCTTAAAACAAACAAAAAACGTGTAGATCTTTGAAAACAAGCTAATTTATATAAATTATATTTAATATAAATTATAATTATGTATGGTATATCTTTAAAAAACATAATTTATATTATATAAATGTTACACAAAAAGATAAAACAAAAGCTTTGAAAGCAGCCTAAACACTCAAAATTCTAGCATTTAATGGATTATAATGCAACCATTAAAAGTTTGAATATGCAAATTAGGCAGAATCATGGAAATTTACGTGTATGTAATATGTAAAACAGTGGAATGCAAGACAGTATATGATGTATTTGTTAATTAGGTGAAGAATTTACACATAGTGATACAGGCTAATTTTATCTAAGTTATTGGAATTTATAAGGACTTCAGGTGGATACTCATGTGTGCCAACAACCGGTGGCCTTTCAGACACCTCTAACAGGTTGTGTTTCTGTTGTACAGTGCTTGTTTCAGGTTCTGGTCAATGTTTCCTGGAGTGGGAAACCCGGGAAGCCTAGCATTGCCGCGGTGGCAGTGAGCACCCAGCATGGATCTCTCCTGCAGCTTAATGACACCTTGGAAGAGAAAGAAGTTTGTAGGTTTGTACCTGCTTTGATTTGACCCTACTGACATGACGCCTGCAGTTTCTGTCTAGTTTTTGTCCCCTGTTTGGTTTTTAGCTTTTACTTCCATCGAAATATTTTTTTATATCTTTCCTGGTCTGCACTCAGGAATGCCTGTCACTCTGCCTTGATGACATTACCATAATCCAACTCCTTATGTTCTGCTCTAACCATTTTTCTTAATTTTACCACATCTTCGTAGGCTGGAATATAAATTTGGAGAATTTGGAAATTATTCACTCGTGGTAAAGCACACCCATAATGGAGTCGGTGAAATTGCTTGTGACATAGTTGTCAACAAGAAGCCAGTCGACAGTAACCTTCGTACGTATAGGCTCTTCGTTGATTTTTTTTTTATAATTTGTGTTTTACAGGTTTTAGTTTTTGAATACTTTTTGCAACACTCTGTGTACTCTAAAACTTGGATTAAAGGTTATCTATCTTATTTAGTTGTGGTATATTTATAATGTATTGATTGTGTCATGGGTGTATACCAAAAAATTATGTGATATATAAGAAAATTATATAATCAACATCTTCTCATAGATGTTCTCTAGTGTAATGATGAAGCATAAATAAGCCAAAAAAAAGTTAGTGCAATAGAAAGAAACTAGAAATAGGGCAAATGACTGTCAATTATCTTTCGTCGTTTTAGGATAGAGGGCACAGTATTCCCTGTGTGGGTCTTATAGGGACAGTTCAGAAGTCCTTGAGATTAAGGAGGGACTGTTTATTCTCTAATAACTCCACTGAAGAAAATCTGTCAGTCCTTCAGCTCAGGTCATGATCCTGGTGTCCTGGAATCGAGCCCCGCATCAGGCTCCCTGGTCAGTGGGGTGTCTGCTTCTCCTTCTCCCTCTACCTGTCCCTCGCTGCTCGTGCTTTCTCTTGCTTTCAAATAGATAAATAAAATCTTAAAAAAGAAAAAGAAAATCTGCAGGTCTTAGCCCCCCATTAGATAATCCCTGTGGCATTGATAAGTACTGTGTACAGCGAAGCTTTTGAAGACCATAGGGTCATGTCAAAAGAATGGAAGAACCGGGACGCCTGGGTGGCTCAGTTGGTTAAGCAGCTGCCTTCGGCTCAGGTCATGATCCTAGCGTCCTGGGATCGAGTCCCACATCGGGCTCCTTGCTCGGCGGGGAGCCTGCTTCTCCCTCTGCCTCTGCCTGCCATTCTGTCTGCCTGTGCTCGCTCGCTCTCTCTCCCTCTCTGACAAATAAATAAAATCTAAAAAAAAAAAAAAAAAAAGAATGGAAGAACCAATATGAAAGGGCCAACATGAGCTAGTTCAAGCATTTGAAAGAATAATGAATGTAATGGATGGAAACACATTGAATCTACAAAAACCAGTGAGTCCCTTCTGAAACTTAAAAGAACAGAGCCACTTGCCTAAACAAAGGCAATATTTCGGTTGCCTTTGGAGGTAACAAGGACACCTGATAACCGGAGTGACTTAAAATCATTAATTGAAAGGGAGGATCTAAGCATTTATCCTGTGTTTCCTATTTTAATTGTATTTTAGGATAACTAAATAGTCTGAGATGTTGAGGGTAAATTCTTCAAGGAGTAATTCCAGCTATTACATGTGGCAGAATGGCACACTATTTTGTAACCCTTAATGAAGGAATTGATGTAGATGAAAATCGTGAGTGGATGAAACCATCGTATGAAAGAGGAACTGGGACAGGAGGGCCAGGCTTTCCCCATCTGACACGGGCATTGAGCATATGGTCAACCACCCCAGGTGCGCCTGATGTGGGGAGTGGGAAAGACACAGCACCATCTGTGAAGCATTCTTCCCCCCAAAAGTTGAACTTTGTTAGTCAAGCCTCTACAGCTAATTGCCCATATGCAGAACATTGGATGGATAGAACGAGTTCAATGACACCATGAGGAAGCAGACCGACAGATCTAGAACATGAGACATCCTCATAGATAACTTGTTTCGAACAAGTCAATGTCTGCTTTTGTCTAAACACAACTAAAGAGACATAATGAGCAAATAGAAAATGTGAACCTTGTTTGTATCCTGACCTGAACGCACTAACTACAAATAGCATTTTTGAAATAATTAGAAAAATTGAAATATGGACTCTGTTAGAGAGGAGTTGTTAATGATATGGTAGATGTAAATATGTATATAACAAAAGGTCCATTTTTAAGAATATATTAATTTTTTTTTTTAAGATTTCATTTATTTATTTGACAGAGAGAGACACAGCGAGAGAGGGAACACAAGCAGGGGGAGTGGGAGAGGGAGAAGCAGACTCTCCTGTTGAGCAGGGAGCCTGATGCGGGGCTCGATCCCAGGACCCTGGGACCATGACTTGAGCTAAAGGCAGATGCTTAACGACAGCCATCCAGATGCCATAAGAATCTTTTAATTTTGAAATGATTTTAGACTTACAAGAAACATGGGAAAAAAGCATTGCCATAAACCCTTTTCCCAGCCCTAACCCTAACCCTAACTCTAACCCTAAAGCCCTAAACTATATAATCATAGTACAGTACATAGTATAGTTACCCATATATAATGCTTGAAACCAGGACGCTAACATTAATATAGCGCTGTTAACTGATGAAGGCTTTTCAGATTTCTCCCATTGTTCCTTCAAGGCCCATTCTTTGGTCCAGGATGCAGTCCAGGATCCCACAGTCCTTTTAGTTGTTAGGTTTCTGCAGCCTTTCTTTGTCTTTTTTGACCTTGACACTTTGGAAGAGGACTGGCCAGTTATTTTGTTATTTGCACTTGCATGCTGTTTTCTCTCAGCTAGGTAGAAGGCATGCATTTTCCATAGATGTCTCCAGAAGCCTCCTCAGTGGGCCACATCAGGGGTTGCACGATGCCAACATGTCTTTTGTGAGGCCTGTGCTTTAGAGCTACGTACTGAAGGTGGACGGAGGAAATGACGTCATGTCTGGGATTTGCTTAAAAATACTTCCAGCAAAAAACCAGAGGCAGAGTAGCAACAGATGAAGCAAGAGTACAGTATCTTGATAATTCTAGAATCTGGGTAATGGGTATTTGGGGGCTTATTATGCAAGTCTCTGTTCTTTTGTCTATGTTTGATATTTTTCATAATGAAAATGAGTGCTCCTCTAATGATGAATGTTCTCAAGTGTTTTTAGGAAAGTTAGCATAAGAATATAGGCTTTTCCCTTGTTTTGTGTGCATTTTTTAATTTATAGATTAAACTTAATGACCTGACAGCTTCCATGCTTAGGATGACACTTTGGTGATATGGTGTTTTCTTTGATTTTTTTTTAAAGCTGTGTGTATTGCGTTCCTTATTGGTGTGGCACTCATCATTGCAGTATCCTTTCTGAGGTTTTTGTTGAGGTAAGCAAATGTTAGGGGAGGGCACAGTTGGGGAAGGTAGAATATAGAAAAAAATAAATTCAGGAAGGCTAGTTTGGCCCCTTCAGTGACCATTATCCTTTGATTAAATGAATACTTAACTGGGTCCACCATGCCCAGTCCAGCCTGGGGTATGAGGGATCAATGTAGAATAAGAGGTGGTCCCTGACTTCAGGGACATGATAACCTAGTTCGAATGGATCTTTGCCTTCAGTCCTCCCAGATGGCTGAAAAGAGAGAAGAAAATGCTTGAGTCATTATTCCCCAAAGGATCTCACAGCCTGCTTTGGTAGTGAGTGGGAGTTGGCCTGGGCTGATCTCAGGAGGCAGATGCTGCCTTACACTTCTCCTCCTGTCCTACCCTGAGCCCCGAGGCCACCCCTCTGTTCCAGCTTCCCAGCTCCTGCCCTCCGGGCATCAGGCAGCAGAGATGGAGGCTGGGGCGCTGGATCTCCAGACCTCGGTGTGGACTCGCTTTTCCCTGCTTGAGACTAGCAGCTTGGCGAGGGGTTCCTTCTCTGTCTGCCTGGTTAACAGCGAGTCCACACGAGATGAGAGAGTGAAAGGGAGTGAATTGACTGGGAAAGAAAAAGTCACATAAATATAGGCTGGCAGATCACCTTTCAAAGGAAAGTTCTTTCATATTTTTAGAGAAGTAAGATTGATGGAATTTTCATGTGCTCAGCCTGTTAGGGTCAGGAAGGATCACAAGATTTTATTTATGGGTGAGCCGAATTCAGACTGGAAGGGAGAAAACCTAGTATTTCAAATCTGCTGCCTTGAGGAAACCTAGCAGCTTGGGGTAGTTCAGACACTCTTGACTCTCTTCCTTTGTGCATCCTAGAAATACAAGGGTCTGTAAGGGTAAAAGGACTACTTCTTGCTCAGAAGCAGATTTTTAACCTGACTGCTTTTTAGGGGCAGAGTTGTTTCTTTGAATTAAGATATTATCTTGTCCATCTTTTGGTAAGATGCAGATACTACTCCAGTTTATTCATGTTTTCATTTGGTCCCTTTAATATGAATGGATCTTTGGCATCACTTTTTAAAGTAATTGGTAGCTGATCTTGAGCTCTTGGAAAGGGAACAAACCCCACCTCATTCCACTGTGGAATTGAAACTCCTCGTAGCTTGTGATTCACCTCTTCAGCCTTGCAGGCAGAAGGCTCTGATGGCAAAGCAGGAGTCCCTTGTCCCTTGCCCCAGCACTTTCCAGCGGGCCCCTGGAAGTCCAGGGATGTTCGGGTGTGTCGGAGGAACCAGAACAAAATCTGAGTTGGTAGTAAGAATACAGGTTCTCTCTCCTTTCACTGGGAGGACAAGCATGGAAAAGGAAATCAAGCACGTTTCTAAAATTTTAATTTTTAAATATCTTACCTTCTCCTTTCCCCCTTCTTAGATGTCTTGATTTTAATAGTTTTCATGTGATGGTGATGTTACCAGTGCTGAATAAAGTAGAAATAGGAGTGAGTTGTGGGGAATAAAGAGAAAAAATAAGAATATATGTCTTAGATATGTGGGTCATATTTAGAGGCTGATTTGAGTAATTAAGCTGGAGAAAAAACTTACGAGACAGAAATTGAACTGGCTCTTTTCTGATAAGAATTACTGATAATAAAATTATTGATAATAAAACCAAGGAATTATTGATAATATTTTAAGACTGAATAATGGAACTGCAGTTCTGTTAAAAAAAGAGGGGTCGTTTATTTTTTAGATCTACACACTGCGGTATTTATGGATTAAATGATACTATGTTTGGGATTCTTTAAAATAGTCAATCTAAGGCAGGCAAGGGGGTGAGAGGTAGGAGTGTGGATGAAGTAAGACCCACCACACTTAAAGACACTTTAAAATGTTTAATTCTTTGACTTGTATAGAGTATGAACTTAATGAATTTTTTTCAGTACAGTACCCAATCATTTTGAAAATTCTGCCAAAGAAAATAAATTAACTGAGCTTTTTATTTATTTTTAGTTTAGACGACTTTCATAATTGGATTTCTAAAGCAATAAATTCCCGGGAAACTGATCGCCTCATCAATTCTGTGAGTTATTAGAATGCAACACGTGTGGTGGTTTTCTCTATTTGGAATTTATAATTCCCTATTTAATAATCTTTATTATATGGCTTAATTAATCTTATTTATATTGTGGAAGGCCAGGTCGGTCATGTGTTCTGTAGCCTTCATAAAGAGCAGGCAGCCTTATCTGCAGCTCTGGTGAGGGGCACCATCCCCTTCTCTTTCCTGGTGAAGCTGGAACTTTGGGTTGCATTATATGCATGGTGTGGAGACATTTTTCTCTCTGCAGGCTGCACTGTTGAATCGATCCAGTTAAATAGAGAATATCAAGATAAAAACAATAGAGCCATCAATATGAAATCTAAAAATCGATGGCTTCCTGTGGTAATTAAATATATTATTTATTTTAATAAATTCATTATGGACATAGATATGTCCATAAATGGGCATATTTGCTTATCCTCTTGTACCAGATGCACATACGGACCAGGTCTTTGTGGTGGTTCATCAGCATGGCTCGGCAGACAGCACAGAAATCAACTGTGAAAAACTAAACCTCTGGGTGGGATCTTTACAAAAGCAAATTAAAGGATTATCCTGGACAATGGTTTTTAGCTCTCCCATCTGTTAATTTCTTCCCTAAAAAACCAGAAAACTGAAATTAACTCACTATATTATCAACTGGCATGTTTCTTTCCCCGTTTTTCTGAAGGAGCTGGGGTCTCCAAGCAGGGCAGCCTCCATCGGTGGCGATGCTCAACCGGAAGCATGGCGTCCGCCCGCCGCAACGCCACGCCTCCGCTGTGTAGACACATTCAGGGGGTATGTGGGGCTTCCATGGGGCATGGTGGGCACAGGCAGTCTAGAATTACATGTTTACACATAAACATGCTTTTAACTATTTTACATATCTTTTTTACTTTGTAGGATAGGCAGGACTTCTTGCTGTGAGAATAAAATCAGTGACCTCTCTTTACTCAAAAGCTGTCATGATAGCAAGTATAAAGTTGCTGGAGAAGAATCAAGGGATGAGGCTAGAGCCAGTTTGCGCTAGTACGGAGATTCTGCTGAGTTAAGGTCATGTGGGCAGGCAGTGGCACATCCATCCGCACCCCCGTCCCATCAGACAAATGAAACACCAGCGTGTGCCAGCCCCAGCCCTTCCCCACTGCTAGCAAAACAGCTTGAACATCAAGCCCTCTGGGAGACAAATCCAGCGTCCTGCAGCAACTTGTTATTTTAGAGTTTGGGCAGAAGTGTGAGGGCCAGGACCCAACTCTGGAAATAAAGTTTAAAACCATATAGCTGAAAATAAACATGTAGGTGTTAGGCCTTCCATTTCTACCCATGGAAGGCTTTCATTTTTTATTTTTTTAATTAAGATTATTTGTTTATTTGATAGAGAGAGTAGGAGACAGAGGAGAAAGAGTAGGAGAAGCAGACTCCTCACTCAGTGAGGAGACAGACCCTGTGGAGCTTGATTCCAGGACCCTGGGATCATGACTTGAGCCAAAAGCAGACACTTAACTGACTGAGCCAGCCCTTGTGGAGGGCTTTGAAACTCTGGCGATAATCACAATTCTGTCCCAGCCTCCTCAGACACTGAGTGCTCCGGGGTGCCAGGCAGTAATAAGAATTAAAACCATTGCAAAGGATTCTTGAATTCTCACCCTGTGCCGGGTACTGTTCTTACTTGTCGTAGTTTATTCAATCTCTTCACAATCCCATGAGGCATGTCCTTTTAAAATGTCTGTTGTACAGGTGAAGAGACTGGGCCACAGAGTTAAGTAACATGTCTGAGGTCACTTGGGGATGATGTGGGATGGCTGGGATCTGACTCCAGGAGTTTGGCTCCAGAGTCCCCACAGATAACCACAGTGACACACTCAAGTCTTCATTCTTCAGTATCTTACAGAATCAGCATTAAACAGTAGCATATTTAGAGTCTGTTTTATCATATTCCTCTTTTTTTTTTTTTTTAAGGAGAGGGACAGGGAGAGGGGCAGAGGGAGAGAGAGAATCTTAGACTCCATGCCCTTCATGGAGCCCAACGTGGGGCTCGATCTCACAACCCTGAGATCATGACCTGAGCTGCAAGAGTCAGAAGCTTAACCAACAGCCACCCAGGAGCCCCTATTCCTCTTTTTTTCTGATTCTCATTGCCACTTTTGGAGATGAGATGTTAGCTGGTAGATAGGAACTAACATTTGTTAAGTGCCTAAAATGTGCCAAGTGCTGGTTAGGTGTCATGATATACATCATTTTCCTCAGTGGTTCCAGGGGTCCCTGTGGGTATTTTCCCTGTCTTACAGAGGAGCCCACTGAGGTAACTGATGAGAGTTTTGCCCTAATAAGAGTTGAGGACCCATGATTCGAGCCTTCAGCTCTAAAGACTATATGCCTTCTACTACAGTTCTTTAAACCTGCAACATCTAAGTAATTAGCACAGAGTGGAGTGATGGGAAAGGTTCTGCTTTGTTTTCAAGTTATACAGTTCAGTGTCAGTGTAATTTTCTCTTAAGAAATCATGTTGGAGGGGCACCTGGGTGGCTCAGAGGGTTGAGCCTCTGTCTTGGGCTCAGGTCATGGTCTCAGGGTCCTGGGATCAAGCCCTGCATCGGGCTCTCTGCTCGGCGGGAAGCCTGCTTCCTTCTCCCTCTCTGCCTACTTGTGATCTCTCTCTGTCAAATAAATAAATAAAATCTATTAAAAAAAAAAAAAAAAGAAAAAGAAATCATGTTGGAGGGGCGCCTCTGTGGCTTAATCAGTTGAGTGTCTGACTCTTGATCTCAGCTCAGGTCTTGATCAGGGTCATGAGTTCGAGCCCTGCATGGAGCCTAGTTAAAAAAAAAAAAATCAGGTTGGAAATGTTGGCAACAGAAGGGCTTTGTGTAGGGCCCAAATTGTAGTAATTAGAAATAATAGTTTCCTGCTCTTTAAGTGTATCTGTGTTGTGACTGCCCCTGTGAGTGTAAGTGTGTCTCTTGCAGTTGGGCCATTCCCTGTCACATGGGCAAGCCCTGAAAGTGTGCTCTTTGCTGCTTTACAGGATAGCTCTCATCCTCATGGTCTTCGTCAATTATGGAGGAGGAAAATATTGGTACTTCAAACACTCAAGTTGGAATGGTAAGATATTTCCTAAAAGTGGTATTGTTTGCGTAGGACCCTCAGAGAAGTGTGGACAAGAGAACCTCTCAGCATCCCCTCAGGAGCTCAGAGACAAGGCCCCACCAGCCTCCTCTGAGTGCTGATCTCCTGCCCCCATACGATGACCTTTAGATGATGCTGTTATCCCTTTCGTTTTGTTCTTGGCTTTCGTGTGCTGTGGCTTTGTAATGCTTCACTCTGATAACACGTGGATGCCCAAGACTCTGCTGCAGGGCTATGGGACTCTGCAGAAGCTGTTAAGAATTTAGTTGTAAATGATTCTTGTCATCTTCTAGATGCACCTTTTATTACAGCCACATGGGACTTCTACCTTCTAAGACTCATGGTCCTCCTCAGGGTGCCATTGAACTCAGGTTGGTCTGAGTGGTGTTGAGTAATGGCTGTAAATATGGCTCAGTAGTTGGGTTTAAGAATGGATTTTGAATAACACAGCTTGAAGATAACAGACTTGTCCACAGACTTCTACTCTGGTTTTCCCCTGCTCAGTCATGTTCTTAGGAAATGCACCAGGCCTGGTGACTGGGTCCAGGGTCCCCGAGGAGTGTCTGTATGTTACTTCACAGTGTTTTCGTGCAAACTCCCAGTGTGAGTTTACTTTCCATATATATCAGTATGTAATGGAGCCATTCTAGTTTTAGGAAGTATTTACATTCTAGAGTCTTTTTCCTTACTCTTATGCTTGTGTTATTCTCTAGGACTGACGGTGGCTGACCTCGTATTCCCATGGTGAGTTGCAGTCTACCACCAGCTCTTCCATAGGTCATCCAAGTGTCCAGCTCATGCTGGAGCCTTTCTCTGAGACCATCCTTGAGTTCTGGGCCACAGGCCTATGTTGCTCACAGGTCCTTCCAAAAGTTATGTTACTGGATAGTTCATGTGCTTGGTAAGAGGGCGTATCTGAAACCTGCATATAAAAGATGAATGATTTCACAGGGAACATTTTGTTCTTGTAGATATGGTATATAAGATCTTGGGATCTTATAGGAAATCATAAATTCTGAATATGTGGTTAAATCTCACTAATCCTGAAAATAGGTATAAAAGTCGTATTTCCTAAAAGAAATTGTAGTATATTGGCATCAGGAAATTCTGGTAAGTATGTAACAGGGCAATGATAGTATTAAATTAAAATTTAAAGTAATACAGGAATGACCTACTCTGTCTCTGACCTTGTTAAGGGACCCCGACTTCTTGTATAATGTGGGATTTGTGTCATTGCCTCTGACGCTTTGAGTGACTTTGTCCCATTTGTAGGAAGTAGTACTAGCTATTGGTTTATGTCTTTGGTCCCTTGTTTCATCACAATATGAATTCAGGGTTTCTTGAGGGGGAGCTGCGGTTCTTGCTTGAGGTGGTTTTGGGTTTGAGGAAGTTTTACATGCCTGAAGATCTGGTAATTATTTATGTACTTTTTTTTTTTTTAAAGATTTTATTTATTAGAGAGAGCACGTGCATGAACAAGGGGCAAAGGCAGAGGGAGATGCAGACTCCCTGCTGAGCAGGGAGCCCAGTGCATGGCTCAATCCCAGGAAACTGGGATCATGAATTGAGCTGAAGGCAGATGCTTAATGGACTGAACCACCCAGAGTTCCCATTTATGTACATTCTTTATGAGATTCCCTGTAGGAAATGTGTTCCCATTTCTGTTAATAGACACTTTTTTTTTTT